CTCCTTCACAAAAACAAACCATTGATCCACACAACAAAAAACGCACAAAGCCTACACTCTCTCTATCTCTCTATTCCACCAGTCGGTTCCATCTCATGAGTATGATAGAGGGATAAAGAGGGCCTTCTTATGTCAGGAGATGTCTCTACTGACATAACAGTATCTCTGTGTAGTTTTTCATACTAGTTTGATACTTAGTAGTATTTTGATGTACTTTTGTAATTTGGAAATATAGGAGTCTATTTTTGTTCCCCTGGTCCTGGTACTTTTTCATGATTAAGTCTGTAACCAAGCGACATGATCACGAGCTGCCACAGAAAACACATAGTTGTGAGCATTTGTAGCTAGTCGAGAAACATGAAGTTGAATAGTATGAGTAGCTTTTGAATGTTTCATTTTGAATCGTATTCTTTAATGAAATATTTTCATGATTTTCTATTTTAGTCTGAATATGTTGCTACACAGGTATAACCGAGCAGTTAGTGTGCTGTTTTCGTAGTGTGCCAAAGCTTTTGTCAGATATTTTAATTGATTGCTCTATCTTTGATTTTCTGCTTCATGCTCCTGCAGGTACTTGAGCAAGGAGGAAAAGGCGAGAGTTCGTACTTCGCCGTACTTCAATCGTAGTTGAGTTTGCCTGGATAAGGGAAGGTCTTTTCAAGAAAACAACGATATCCTATAAAGGTCGATGAAAGCATATCCTAGGTCGGAGAATCCGAATCTGAAGTCAGATTTCAAAAATTTTGAAGCCGAGTTTTCCAGGTAAGGGAGGGTCAACTTTCATCAGCCTTTATGAAATACTGTTATTTTTTTCAAAAAAACCCTCCCTTGCATGAAAATTCAGCTTCAAAATTTTTGAAATCTGACTTCGAATTCTCCGACCTCGGATGTGTTTTCGTCAATCTTTATGGGATATTGTTGTTTTCTTCAAAAACCATCCCTTACCAAGAAAAACTCAACTTCAATACGTTTTTAAATCAGAATTCAGATTCGCATTCTATCACCTTGAGGTGCTATTCTTAATCGCTTGATCGGTCCAACTGCATACCATTTCACTGACAATTAAGGTGGATCGATGAACGATTAATCGTTACCCTGGCATCCCTACTTCACAGTACTTCAAATGCTTTTTGAAGTAGATAAAGTCTCGCTTTTCGTCTCTTGTTCTTGAGTGATTAGTTGTTTACGAGCTGCTTCATCCGTTTTTTTGAGGGCATAGGGACGAAACAATCGCTCCGTTGTCTTCATCCTTATTTGTACACACTTGGTTCGTCGGTGATCACCGACAATACAAGTATTTTATCTATCACTCTCTATTCTTTGTTGCCGATATCTCTTCAGCTTGCTCACTTGAGGCATAAGCAGTCCATCGTTCTTGCACTGATCGCTTTGACCAAAAAATTGTCTCTTTCTCTTTTTCTTTTTCTTTTTATCGGTATCTCCTTGCCGCTTTCTCCTTCTCTTTTTCTTTCTTTCTCTTTTTCTTTCTTTCTCTCTTTCTTTCTCTTTTTCTTTCTTTCTCTCTTTCTTTCTCTTTTTCTTCCTTTCTCTCTTTCTTTCTTTCTGCCACTCTGCGAGCTTATAAATACACAGCAGGCCTCAGCAAAGGTGTACGATTTTCAATCCTTGGTCGAACAGGTAAGTCATTTGAATATTCTTTTTACTCTTACTCCCTTTCTTTCTTTCTTTTTGTTTCTTGTTTAATCTGTCACTTGTTAGTGAACCCTTTATGAGATTAAATGCTTCGTTTGTGACATACTAGCAGCATAAATTCATATAGTTCGATATAATTAGTCAGCTTTGCATGTTTATACAATCTTAGTATAAAGTAGTCATTACTGAAATGTTTACTTCGAGGATGAGATATACATATCCCCTTAAGGAAGCATGTCTTTTTGCTTGTGATTTTTCTTAAATTGACATTTTTCACAATGTATAGTTGAATTTAGTGAACCTTTGTAAAGGGGATTCGATTCTCCTAATTCAAAGATTAGGTTAACTTTTCTATGGACGCCAAGAATAATAATTAGAGAAAGTGCTAGAATTATTTTCAGCACTGATTCATGAGAGAGTAAGCAAGTGCCAAATATCTTCACAACTACGTTTTTGTGAATGTATTCCTATTTTGTATTCGAAAAAAACTTATCATGCAAAAGTATCATTGTTTCATAACAATATTTCTTCCTTTAAACGATAATTTCGTCGTTTTACCATAGGCTCAACTATTGCTCTCACAAATACGAATATTTTTGTCTCCAATTATCTTGATATAAGCATTAGATTGAAACTAGAGGTTGACGAGTTCAGCTTTAGTTCATAATGAATAAACCTTGTATAACACTGATCAAGATGAACAACACCATTCAAGGTTTTGCACAGTTCCTTACAAATGAACTCAACTGCTTCACCAGGTGTTTTCAAGGAACCGAACCTTTTCACAGAGTTTAGCTCCATGAACTGATTTTCAAGAACAGTTATGCTGGCCATTCGAAGATTCGCTAGGAGGTACTGTACGAAAGAGACGATGAGAATAATGGACTGTGTGCTAAACTGACACCATAGATCTCGATAAAACTTTGCATATTTTTGGCTCCAAGTGATATATGAGAAAAGCTAAAAATTTGTCCCTCTAAATCCTTTTCTGCGCTGAGATCTTCCAGTTACAATAGAGACCTCTCAGCTGAACTCTGATGATTACCACTGCAGTATTCCAGTATTATGTATTTCGCCGATTTTCGTCAATAATATTTCTAGTCATGACATTTTGTAGGTATAAACTGCGACAGATACGCTACAGACTTGGATGATTAAAATCACTTTTTTCCTTCGTTAGACGAGGTAAAGATATTCTATAGACCTTAAGCAAACCTTTTTTCTTGTGACTAAGATTTTTATCATCTGAGCCAGTTGTAAGCTGTTGCTCGGGAATTAAGTACAGCTGATTTCTACTCATCAGTACTAATTGTCAAAGCTTTGGGTATTTGGTTCTGAATCGAAAAACAGCTTTGTTTGTGTTCGGATATACCCTAATAAGGGTAAAATTGAAAGCAACTTTCCAACGGTTTTTGGATGGAATCCGTATTTCTAGATTATTCACTATGTTGACTCCAAATGTGTATATGAGAATTGTCGCTAGAGTTTTCTAGCATGAATTTGTAGAAGACTGATATTCATGTGTGAAACCCATTTTTTATCAAATTTTTCTCTTCTATTCAACCAAATTGTAGTACTCATGAAATTGTCTATACAAAAGTATTTTCGATTTTTACATTAAGTTCTGAATACAAGAAAACTATTTTAACTGATACACAAGGTGCAAGAGGACCTTGCTACGTACTTAATAGAGACCTGCGTGACCACGTTTTTTAGTCACGGTCACGGTCATGATCATAGTCATAAGAACTCTATAAAAAAGTGTCATCCTGAACCATTTAAGGTTTTGGCCAATATCTCGGACCTTTTAAGGCTCCGGATTTGGCTACTATTTTCGGAACCATTTTTAAGGTTCAATCCAAAAGTCTAAATTTCTCAAAGGTTCCGAATTTCTGTCCAGAACCATTTGAATTTCTGGCCTTCTTCTGTGGAACTTGAAAATGGTTCTCAAGATGTTACCGAAAAAAGGCTCCGTGTGCCACTTTTTTTTACAGAGAAATATATGGATCCTGGAATAGTGTGAGTAGTTGGTATTAAAGGTCGGCTTGCTAATTCATGTCATCAAAATCGCTTCATTTTTGACGATTTTCCGTGATTTTTACAAAAATCTCTGATTAGTCGCCAGCATTTGGTGATATTATCACCGAAATGTTGCTTAAATGGCGACTTTTTCGTGATAAGTAGCAGAAATCGCTAATCCTTATGATCTGTCGCGAGTCGCGATATCGTCGACGATTTTTATTTAACTGTTGACAGAACGACTCTACATATGATCGACTTTTTTAATCAGAATCCTATGGCTTTTCCGTTTATTGTGTTTGATTTCGAGGATGGAAGAAAAATCGCTGTTTTAGACCATTAATCGCGATATTATTTCGCAATTATCGGTCTAAGAAATCGCGATAAATCGACGATTTTTGTGACATGGGAAGTAACAACATCTACTGATGGTTAACACAACATAGACCTTTTCTAGTATGACATTAGTTTGTGAAAATTCCATGAATTATATCACAGAATTCTGCATCGGCAATGGAAGTCAATTAGAGACCTGCGTGACCACGTTTTTCAGTCACGGTCACGGTCACGGCCACGCGTGACCGCGACCACTTTGCAGGTCTCTAGTACTTAACCATCATGCGTTGGTTAATCTTTTTTAAAACTGTTTTTTGACAGTAAATATTTTCTTGGTAATGCATTTGCACTATATTGATTGCAGTTTAATAGAAAAAAGTATGACTCAAGTTGAGATTAGTCAACATCATGAAGTACAATGAACTAAAAGCTATCTTTAGTACATGATGTGAACAGTTAGCATGTCAATGATTTCTTGTCATCGCTTTTCTTTTTCATTGTCTATGAGCCCCTGATAATATTATACAGTTTATTGCAACTATGGGGTTGGCAAGAAATTTTTTGCGTTTCTTTCGAAAATTTTATTTTTAGTTTTAACTTCCAAAATATAATTAACTTTCGACAATGTATGTTCCATCATTGTCGATGACTTGTCGCCAACATTCTGATAAAGAAAGAATCTCGGGTTCGTAGAACTCCTGGGACTTCTGACCAAAGAACCTCACGGGATCCATTTTGAAGTCGTTCTCATCGTCGAATTTTTTTTCACATAAATGATCAGATAAAGAATGATATAGGTGGTAGTCCGTTCGTACTAGATCCGGAGAGTATGGTGGATGCGGAATTGTAATCCATCGAAGCTTTGATAACTTTTCATGAGTCGACTTTGTGACATGTGGTCTTGCATTATCATGCAAAAAATAAATTCTATCCTGCTTCCCCTGGAGTTTTGCTGCAATCCAATCCAGCTGTTGACAATAAAGATCAGCAGTGATGTTGCAACCAGCTGGAAGAAGCCCCGAATGGATAATCCCCTTTACACTCCACCAAACACTTAGCATACTCTTCTTTGGATGAAGGTCATTTTTGGGCGTTGTTACACCTACTTGTCCAACACCTAACCACTGACGCTTCAGCGTATGATTAACATACAAAACCCAATTTTCATCGCCAGTAATAATATTACAAAGCCATTGATAATTACGATGAGATGCTATTAAATCCATACAAGCATCAACTCAGAGTTGGAGCTGATGTGGCCATAACTCATGTGATACCCAAACCCCAGATTTCCATGTCTTGCCTAATTCGTTCATATGTGTTTCGACTGTAGTGTGAGAGCATTCAAGTCGCTCTACTAAACACCATGTAGGCAATCTCGAATCTTCTTCAATAAGCTGCTTTAAGACGTCGACATCTAACGGGTGCAGCAGAAATAATTGCCGGCTTTTATATTTTATGTTTTTAATCATTCAATACGTTTTATTAAAAAATAAAATATACTATGACGTGCAGCGTGAAAAGCTCTACAATTTACAGAAGACCACTTATTACAAAGTTCCAATTTTTGTTTCCTAAATGGACAAAGTTTCGAGTAATCAAATATCGTCGCTGCTCAAAGGTCATTTCTTTCATGAGAACAAGAAATAATTTTTTTCTTATTTCGTCTCTTTATCAACTAATATGTTTTCTTAACAGAAAACAAAACATATTAAAATATGCAGCGTGAAGAGCTGTACAATCTACAAAATAAAGTTTATTTTAATTGTGTTGCTTTTTTTCTGAAAGGAAAACGAAATTCTGTGCGACCAATATTCGGCACTAGGAAGAATCATTCTTTAGACATCAATGAGAAATTCTTTTCTTATTTAAATAAAATCGCCGATGCAACTTGTGCAGCTTTTCACGCTACATCTATTGATACATTTTGTTTTTTTATTGAAGCCATATTAGATGATAAAAAGATAAGATAACATGAGATAAAAATAAATAATCTTTGAGCAACGCCGATATTTGATTACTCGAAACTTTGTCCATTTAGAAAACAAAACGTAGAACTTTAAAATAAGTGATCTTATGTAAATTGTAGAGCTTTTCGCGCCGCATTCCGTAGTATACTTTGTTTTTTAATAAAACGTACTAAATGATTAAAAAAATAAAATATAAAAACCGGCAAGTATTTCTGCCGCACCCGTTAGATGAGGTATCTCTACAGTGACTTGTAGACCTCAAGTGGGAAAAGGATTTAGAAGAAGAGTTTTTTAGCTTTTTCATATATCACTAGAAGCTGCATATACGCAAAGTTTCATCGAAATTCGTTGCATCAGTGTAATATATGCTCTGTCATTTTGGTCGTCCCTTTTGTGCAGTACCTCCTGGGCACACTTCAGGTTCAACATCTGCAATTTCTTGAATATTCTATGGTGACACCCATAATGCCTGATGTCCTATTATATAGAGTTACGTGTAGGACTTCGGGCACTACTAAATAAATATACCGACAGATTCTCCACTTCTGTTATATTGGGCGTATACAGTAAGACTTGAGGATCTCTTGATATTCGTGTCTGGTAGGACTTAACGTCCTGTGGCGCGTGTATTATGAAACTTGAGATCTCACAATTATTTCTACTTAGTAGGACCTTAGAATCTGCAGGTACTCTTATAGGATTTCACTAGAAGACCTATGGATATGTTCATACGACCGATCTTGAAAACTTGTGAGTACCATGATAGAATAATATCTATTTTAACTTTAAGTTCAGTTCATTTGAAAAGAACTGTTCGAAAAAGTTCAATTTGTTCAAATGAGCTTTTGAAATAGTTCTTTGCTTCATATCAATGGAGTTTATAGACCTGCGCCTGTCAACTCCTAGTTGGATCGTTAAAATTAATATTCTCATGATGCAATCGTTCGAATCATATGAAGGAATTCAGTAAAAGATCATTGCTTTGAATTAGAAGGCTTGATTGTAATAGATGTAGTTATTAGTATTTTCTCTTTGTCTTCGTCAATATATTCAATCTGCTATTGAGATTTGGCATTCAAATATTCGATATCTTAGAGCAGAATTCGAGCACTTTTGACATGATTTACTGCGCGTTGATTTTTGAAAAAAGAAAAGTAAGTTTCCAAGACAATATGATCTTTATGAAATTCGACTGCCAATTTAGGAAAAACGACTAGAGTACAGCCTAATATGCTAAATAATGGAACGAAATTTGTGAAAGTCCAGATCTTTTGTATAAAAGCTGTTATGATTTAGTTGAGGGAATTCTTCAGCAAAGTTATTTCATTTTCTAAATAGATTCCTTCTAATACTACCTAATGCATATAATGTTAGCCAACTTCAGTTCGTCCATCTTTTGGAAATCGACTCATCAGGTCGAAAATTTACAACGCTGATTCTAAAATCTAATGTGACACCAGCAAAATAAATCTTCACAAAGTTATTCAACCTTCTCGATTGATATTGATCAAGTCGATCGCATGAATGTCTTATTAGTTTTGCTTATCTCTTACACCATCAAGGGAACATATTCAAACCCCCAGAGTACTTAGGTTTCCAGAAAATTATGAAGATTTTGGCGCTGCTGTTATGTAGGATGAAGAGAATGAAGTTCATAGGCAGACCATGTAAATCTTCATGGAGTTACTGACAAAGCTTCTTGATTTATAATCAAGAGGTAAATACTAACGATCGTCAGTAAAACACATAGGTAAAATTAGTACCAGGTTAGACTCAAACTTACCCATACTCATTTCATACAATATTTCAATGGTCATACGCATGTTCCAAGTAGACTTCGACGTAGCCTATTCAACAGTATAATATCTTTTCTCATAGCTCTTACTATATTCCTGCAAATCTCCAAAGGCTTTACTTTTCCAAAGAAGCTCGAGCACCAGGTTCGTGTAAAACTTGCCCGCATTTATTTTTGTTGATGTTCTACCGTTTACCCTCGTTTCTCAAGTATAACTCAACGAGCTATGTCCTACAGTCTGCTCAAATTTCCTATGTCATCAAATAAGATTCTCACATACTTATGCATAACCATGTACAAGGACCAGAGTCTTATTTTGAGATATAAAAACTCTAAAGAATACCATCGGATAAAAATCATCGTGTTATGCCTGAAACATGAGTTTGAATGGTGGAATATCGTCAGAGATGAATAAGGATAAATTTTAGTTTTCTCTGATTTTAACTTCACCTAGGTCAATAATACTTGGGTACTGAGAAATGCAAATCAATAACATACCGTGTTTCTTGGGAACGATGCAGGCTGCACCTTTAGTTTATGCAGTTGGAACTAAAAAAAACAAAGTTTGAAAACAAAATTTGGATAGTGTTCTGAAAGTCTTTGAATATACTCTGACACTGGCTAGGTAAGGTCCATATGCCAGAGTGTGATACTAGCAGAGCTAAAAATCTCAAAAATCATTCACATGAAGAAACTGTAAATGTTATTATTTCCGTCAAGGGATATGTAGCCCATTACGCGACACGATATCCTCGCTGTGACCTGGCCTGTCTAGGAAGAGTACAACATACTTTCTACGACATGCACAACGTACTTTCTGTAGGTGCTTGTAAAAATGGATATAATGAACATTGTCCGATTTAATTTCATTATAATTATACCTGATTTGAGAACTCAACTAGATTTAATCTTGAGATCTGTCCATCCACATTTGTTTTTCCATCCTTTTCAGACCGTTTTAGACTAGTCTTCTCTCGAGTAATGATGAAGATTCGCATTTTCTCGACCAATGATTTATTGAGAGATAATTTAGAAATAAAATTATTTTGAAAAAAATTATCCCTCTCATATTCAGCTATGCTATTTATATATGTTTATGCGTACAAGACAAAAGCGGTTAATGAATAGTGAACAAACAAAATGCTAACAATTTATATTCGATACATTTTCATTCTGGGATGTGCAGCCCCGTACTGCAATACATTTTAGTGTCTAAAATACATGAAATATATGTTTAACTTTTTTCAGACCATGAATAGGGTACTCCGTGTGAGTGATATACTTTTTTGATTTTTAACAAACAATGATGTAGTTTACTTTACTCCACAGGTAAGCAAAAACATGGATCTGACGGGCAACATGTCTAGTCTTTTATGTCTGAACCACTAGCTCTGACTAGTCCAGACCCTGCTATATAGGCGTCTGGTCTAGTTTATGGCGACAAAAATGTCAGACTATCACATCCAGACTAGTCTGACATATCCACCGTCTAAGTCCAGTCTAAACTGAAATATTTAGAATTTAAGTCCAGAGTAGTCTGAAACGTCTGATGAGCCAGTCAGGTCTAGTGCACTCAAAATACAACGATATATATTTGCGACCAGACTAATCTAAAGTTAGCAGAGTTCAAAATGATCACAAAACTATGCTAGTCACGTCTAGTCAACTTTTACTATACATCTTGTGATTACTTATGGACTAGTCTAAAATAAGCTAGAATGCTGCTCTATTTTCTTCAATGTGTATTAAAATAATATTTTTATGTCAAAACGTAGATCCTTTTGTAATTCTGGCTTCATGCTAACCTTAATATCAAAACCTATACATTTTAAGGTTTCATATTTCAAAAATTGAGAAATGGAAAAACTTCTGTTATCATCAGAGAAAAGACTATGTTTATTCCTAAGCTGTTATCAATCCGTATTTAAATTTAGCAAGATATTTTTTTCTCGAATATGAAACGATCGAAGATGGTTTTTTTATTGGTTAGAGAAAATATATTTAAAAGGATGACTTTAAAATTTTCGTACTAGCTTTCTTTACATATCTATTTTTAATTCAAATTATTTTTCAATGTGATTCAATTCCTCTTAGACCTAATTGCCTGAGAAATTCTTCGGAAGTTAATCTGAGCAAATTGTTCTGAATTTCAGCAAAATATCTAGCTATTTTGATCCCTGTAGATGAACTTCGAGCATATGAAAACAAGTAGACAGATTAATAATACGTGCACTTGATAGAACTCGTCGACATATTTCCTGAAAATCATAATTTTATCGGAATGCTCTCCTCGTTGATTCGCCCAAGCTATTTCACCAAAACTCGCATATTTTGTCAGGCGTTGTTCTAATTTTTAGAGATTTATGCTACATTTTGATCTCTTTCTCCTCAATTAAAAGAGCGTCTGACAGAGTAAATCGTCAATGTGAAATAAATTTGATCACTCTTTAGAACAGTGTAAAAACAATTTATTGTCTATGCGACGCATTCATCCATTCCATGCATGCGGGGAAAAAATGTAAAGTTATCGAGGCAAGTTCTTTCTTTATATTGTTTTGTCTTCATAATGACAATCTTCATTCGCCATCAACGCATTATACACTTTGGCTATATTTTCTAGATCAGCAATAATGGAGGACGAAGCAAATGAACAAATATCGCCTGCGGACAGCCAAGCAAACAATGAAGATTCATCCGTGAACAAACAAAGTGCTGATAGCAGCGAAGAAAAATCTGTAATGGGAGAAAATGACTACGATCGTGAAATACAGCCGCCGAAGAAAGTGGCACAGAGATTCTTGTCTCATTTAGTTGGTTGTAGGCACAATAATTTTCATATCGATAGTGAAATAGCTTCATTCGAATCAATGTCGGAAGTCTTAGAAAAGAACTTGGAAAAACTTGGCTTTTCTTTAGAAGGCGGTTGGGGGAGTCAGCTTGAGGATACAGTAGAAGAAGTGGAAGGTTCATCGGAAGGTACCAGTGAAAATATTCCGGCCATTGATCAGGAATTCGATGAAGTAGCGCGGCGTCTCTTTAACGGAGTTGCTTCATTTTACAACATGAGCTACACAAGTGCACTCCTTCCACTGGCAGCTGATACAAGAGCGGTTGTTACTAGCAAAGATGGGAAGTTATTCCTCGTTGTAGCAGCCCGTTTAGGTCAAGGACGATGCCTTCTGTTTGGTAGACCAGACTACATGAATTACTTTGGGGAAAACGCTTCACCTGCCAAACCGGAAGAAACTCTTGATCCGAAATTTGTGGAAAATGCCAAACAGTGGGTCTCACGCAATAGATGGACTGAAACTCTTAGAATCGACGAGACGGATCAATGGGCTAGTATCGATGTCGAAGATAAGATTCTTGTTTGGAAAGGAACCTGGAATAAAAGTGAAGAATTTATCAATAGCTTGGTAGGTTAAGAGAAAGAATTAAGTCGTGCATCAGCATTTAACTGTTAAGAACAATATAACTACACCAATTATCTAAATTGTCCTGGAACGCAAGAATTAGTAAAAGTCAGGACTTCCCTCTATGCTCTCTAGCATTCATGTCAATGCCATAGCTGTTGGATTAAATTGCGCCAAATAAACATTACATCTGTCATTTTCGATATTGGCTCTGATTCTATTCACCTAAATTACTTTTTTTCCGTAAAACTGTAGACGATTTGTAAAAATAAGATTATCGATGAGATTTGTAATATTTAAAAATGGAAATCGAAGTTCTTAGTTCATTCCACAGATGTCGTCAAATTCACCGGTCGCATACTAAAGAAGTAGAGTAATTTGTCTTGTTTGAGGCTTTTCAATCTTCTGAATCCAAAGTTTCGGATTTCGTGCGGATTTGAAAATTTTGAAACTCACAACAACCATTCATTCATCTTACAATATTATATCATGATTCTATCATAGTAATATAGATGCATTGCCTATAACGCTGCCACGAACCATACCCAGGCAGACAAACGTTAAAGAATAACGCGTTTAAACGAAATATTTTCGTTTAAATGATGTTATTATGAAATTTCTAAACGCGTTAAAACGTATAAACTATCTCCAGTACGTTAAAACATGTAGTTTTTTTTCCAAATTTACGCGTTTTTCTGTTAATATCGTTATTATTTTTTCGAGTTTAAACGCGTTCACAATTGCAAATATATTTATATGCAGTATTTTATTCAAGATAGATTAAGCTGTTGTTCTCGAAAAACTACGGTAAAACTCGTTAAATCTGTGAACTATATCTCACTTATTTCATGAAATATTTTTTAAAGTTAATGCATCATTTTATGAAAATTAAAATATAGCTGTTCGATGAAGGTAACAAATTTTGTATTGATACATCAGTATTGCAAACAAGGTTGTTCTTCAGATAAATGACACCTCTATATTATTGACTGAATATAACAAAGGACATCAATATCTTTAGTCCATTCAAATGTATTTTTTCTCGAACAAAACGAACATCTAACAAACACATTATGAACTCATTATTTGTTTCGCACTTTTATTAGACAAAAAAAACGAATTTTTGTCAGCAAACTTTAATAATACCCACATCATTGGTTGAGCTAAAACTGAGAATTGGTTAGACAGGCTCTGCTGCTATTTACGTAGATATTTTGTATTATCACTATAAAAACTATATCTTTCTAATAGACCTTTTACAATAATGAATTTTATAAATATAATTAGGAGGACACAAAAGAATTACGAAACTATAAAAGTAGAGTATTTGAAAAACAGGCTAATTTTGTTTTCTATGTAAACCATTTGGGACAAGTAATGAGCAGTATAGTATAGGAAAGATAATTATGGGATGAAAATTCTGCTTTATGATTTTAGAAGTACGTTTAGTTAGAGGAAACTCATTTTCCACTTTAAACAAAGCTATCAAAAATTCTCAGAAATGTTATATGCTTTTAATAAAATTTTTATTCATCAAATGAGGTAAAACTCAAAGAACACAACGCATATTTCTCTATCTCTTCATACTATGTTGACAATTAAATATTATCTCAACCTTTTTGTTGCATTGACGTAATCTTTAATGAAGTTTATGACAATAGCGAAATCGGTGAAATTTGTTTGAGAAAGCCAAATTTATTTTGGTAATTCCAGAATAGGGGTGTCATACTTACCATCACTTCCACTTACCAGGTAAGTAGTAAGTGTTTTAGTGATGTAAAAATCATCGGTATAATACTAATTAATGATTATTTGAATCATTGATTATTTGTTCTATCATAGTAATCTTCACCACTTACCACTTACCAGGAAGTAGCAAGTGGTAAGTGGAATATAGAATCCCTATTCCAGGAATATGCGATAGTGAGCCTTACTCGAAACAATTCTTTAGATATACGACAAAATTATGGAGGGCGCTAATTTTAAGAATATGATTATGTTTCAAATATTTTGCTGGATTAGAATTTGATGGGAAACTTAAATAGAATGAGAAACTTTAACTAGAGATTTTGTAAATATTTCAATTGATCGGCTTCGATCATTTTATATTCAAAGGATTCGTAATCAGTTATTTAATTGAGAGCGGTGACGAATTTTCTTACATATGTCGTCTAGTCTACGCTACTTATATCGTTCAAAACAAAATCACTAGTAAACATAATCTGGTCAGTCGATGAATGACAGCTTCGTAGCATTTGTAAATTTCACCTGTTTTCAGAAATAAACTGTGAATGTCAACAAATAGGGACTATCACAGTCCTTCCTTTTGTTTTCTTCATGTCTTCTAAGTGTCTATTTTTTCAATACATGAAGATATTGTAGACTGCGTGACTATTTTGGTTGCCATATGTTACTTTATCTGTAATGACTGAACTTATACCATATCAGTGTTGCCAACTCTTCTGCTTTTAGCAGAAAAATTCTGCTTTTCTTCTGTCGTTTCTGCTTTTTTCTGCTTTTTCAGATATTTCATTTATTGTATTTTTCGACAGTTTTCATATTAAGCTATACTCATTTTTAAAATCAAAGTAACGAAAATTCTAATAGGCTTTGTTGATTCGATAGTGTTTTCTGTATTGTTGCAGAAGTCGAATTATTAGGGTTTCACTGGTTGGAAAATACTGTCAATCTATCTTCACTATTCCTTTTTTTCACTATATCTATGTGTCATTTCTATTGAAAATTCATCTTGTCTCTTAATTTGTAATTGTCAATATATAATATAATTTATTTGCTTGTTTATTTATTGAAGTCGGTCTATAGAAAGAGCACTTGCAAAAAGTAGTAATAATCCATGAAGAAGATCATAATATTGGTGCTGACGAAAATGAGAACTCTACTATATTATCATCACCTAATGCACTAGACACTTCTCGCTTAGTGGAAAAACCGAGTAAAACGGACTTAAAGACAGATGTTCTCAATCATGCATGAGTGAACTTGACCGAATGTAAGTCGTTTGCAATGTTTGCAAAGCAATATTTTCAGACTCATCAGGAGCAAATGATTTAGCATCTGCTCGTGTCAGTTCAATATTTATTGCCCTTAATATTCTAGCATATTTTTCGCTTGTAACTCACTTCATGATTTAAACCAATCGTTCTATTATTCCTCGACGTCTTACGCAAGCAACAAGTGAAATACTAATGTGCTTGTTTTTCGCGTTTATTTTTATCAATAGCCATTGTAAATAATGCAGACTTTTGTTACTATTTTCATTTGTCCTTCAGTGACATCTTATAATTTCAGGTCGGATAGCGGTATCAGATAATGCTGACGAAACAGTGTTGAAGATTTTTTTAATGTACATAAGCTAATTAGAGAAAATGGTTTAGATATTAAAGAGATAACAGAAGCAGATTCTGAAGTTCTCATTATTTGATTCGATGAGGCTTGAAAAACGAATTACCAATAAAAAATATACTTTCTGCTTTTTTTCTGCTTTTTGAGAAAAATGTTTCTGCTTTTTTCTGCTTTTCTTTGCCAGATTTCTGCTTTTTGAAGTTTTAGAGTTGGGAACACTGTACCATATCGTGCATATCGCAGCTAAATCGAAGAAAGACAATGTCATCTTACAAAATCATTACATCGGATTAAAGTTATCAGAGACATGTTAATTTCTTTTTACGTATGTTTATTAATTGAAATAATTTTTGAGTGAGTTGCAAACGTGTATTAAAAACTGTACAAAATAAGCTTATAGATGGCGCTCATATGAAGAAATAAGAATCTCATATTTTTCAGACAAATGAATTTCACCCAAAAGAATCAGATTTATTTTCAGAAGAAATTATAAACCTTTTAATTAATTAAGTACAGTCCTATGAGTATAAATATCATCTTTATGCCAATTTGAGTAGATAGAAAGAAAGTGAAAAAAAAGTGATACTACACCAAGAATTCACTACATTAATATAAGTTTAAGAATCTTTAAAATCACTTACCTCAATCGATTCTTTTTTCGTCCAAATCCGCTCTTTCTTATGTTTATTGATCTTCTCATTGTTCTTTATTGTAGTCATTCATGTTTCTTTCATTCAACGAAGTTCATCATATTATTTCTTCTTGATTATCTATTACATTGGCTATGATACAGGAATATCCTCATGCAAATCAGCCTTTCTTCGATTAAGATAAAGTAGAAAGAATACAGTTTAGTGAGGGATTATTGCGTAGAGAAGAAATAAGTTTGTTACTTGAGTATGCTTTGTGTTTTATTCTTTTCTTTACTTTGTATCAGATCATTTTGTGATATGAACAATAGAGGGGTCCACGAAAAATTTCTTTTAGTCCGGTTTACTTTTCTAAGGTGATATTTGAGCCTTTAGCTCCCTTAGCTTCTTTAGTGCCCTCAGCTCTCTTTACTCCCTTAACTCCTTTAGCTTCCTTAGCTCCCATATAATATGGAAAAAAACTAAACCCGGATAAATCAAAATTTTCGTGAACCTCTGTACTTATCTCTCATTATAACAAAACGCATGAATGGCATAACGTAGAGAGAGCTCAATACTTCAAAGTCACTTGCGAATTAGTCAAGACCATTTTATAACTATTTTATTGTAATAAACTAAAAATAGTTATTAAATGATCTTAACTAATTCTCAAGTAATCATGAAGTATTGCGTTCTCTTTAATTTACAGTATTTGCTTAATTTAAAACAAAAATAAAACATGTAAAAACGCGTTTACGCAATGAAACGAAAACCGTTTCGTAAAAACCGCACATTTAAACGTGCTAGGAACGCATAGGGCTAGCTAACACCGTAAAAACGTTATAATATTTATTTTAAAAAATAACGCCGTTAGCTAACAAACACATTATGAAGCATTACAAATATAAACGATGAAAAACTCCGTCAGTAATTGTACAACGTTTGTGGTGCGTTAAAATGTGCGGTTTTTATGAACTGAAAAGCGTTTATTTTGGGCCCATTTTAACGCATTTTTTTCTTGATTTTGCCTGACTGGGTAATGGACGTAGTAAGAACTTCATATTGCAGCATAAGAGACTTCATCGTGGCTCACATTTTGAGTTTTGAAAAGAGATTGGAGTAAAATCTGGTATAATGTCTGGTTAGCCTTTTTTACATTTTTAAATGAAAAGTCAAAAGATTTTGTACTTTTTCTCTAGAACAAGCCATTTCGTTTCTAGAAAACTTGAAATACCAAGATATTGGAAACCGGAAACGCAGCTTAAAAATATTATTAGAGTGAATCTGACTCGATTTTGTTTGCAACACTAAGCTGAGAATTCTTTTGAAACTGAGACCATATACTATGAAGTAGATCTAAGTTGCAAGTTTCTTTTTGAAACGCTTCATGTGAACTTTTGTTCAGTACTATTCAGAGGATCTATTCGACGTTATTCGTGCAAATAATTAATGTAGCATCAAAGATGTGTCAGATATTCAAGTTTCATGCCTCACGAGATCTCTCCAAATTACTTTTTAAAACTGGTCTCGGAGATTCCGATGAATAAATCGATGAAAGCCACCGGTTACGGCAAAGCCATAGTTTTCCTCATCTATTTCGTCTTTGTTGGTCCGAGAAGCTCTTTTCTTTGGTGACCACTCACTTCGTCACATGACACTTCGTCGCAACACATTTCATTGCAATAAAAACCATACTAATCAGCTCACTCTATTTATTCGGAAAAGAGAAAGATAGTGAACTAATCGAATTTAATGATTTACGTTCGTATTTTATTTCATTATCACTTAAATATACACTATGTTATGAAATAATTATATTTACACAGTTGCTAAAATGTGTAGTTTAAAAACATAAATAAAAAAACATTTATCAAAGAGAAATCTTAAAAGTTTTTAGGGAAGCGCTAAGTTTTCTATTGAGAGCTTCATCTCAACTCTTTGAATAGTAGACCGTTTACGAAACTTTCGGTAGGGACAAATAAAAATTAAAAAAACAATTTTTAACCCTCTCTTGATCTGTTTGATATCCTTAGAAATATCTGCGATGACCTTTTGCGATTCACAAAGATGCTCAAGCACTCGGAAAAATGATGATGAAATTATCAAAATAAATTTTAGAGTTCTCATATTAGTAAATCTTTGGAAAATCAAAATATTGGTTAAGTAATGCTGTAACATTCATTGAAAATCATGGATTTTGTATATGACGAATTCGAAACACTATTTCATGAATCTTCTACAAATGTAATGAAACAAAATAGTTTATTTCTAGAGGTGATAGGATTTTTAAAAAGTGCTTTTCTTTTTACTAGAAATTTAAACTCACTTTTAAATAGTCTTTGTAATTTTTTTTATCATTAAAGTTTGGATGAGTTTTACTTTATAAAAGATGCATTATAAATTTACACTTCTGTTTTTTTCCAAAAAATTATGCTATGAGTTATGAATTATACTACTAATTGAAACAACTACGCGATTAATTAAATAACACATGTACATGAGCCGCTTAATTCGATTATTTTCCTTTCTCTCTTTTCCGAATAAATAGAGTGAGCTGATTAGTTATTTTTTCATTGAAACGAAGTGAATGCGACGAAGTGTCGTGTGGCAAAATGCACTAGCGCTCTATTCTTTCTTCAGCTTCATCTTAAATACTTGTTTTCGCAAGGGAAAATCAAGTAAAATAGTTTAGACTGAATTAATTTGGTAGAAAACTTTCACGATTTAGTGTTTTGAGTCGTAGAAATTCTTTGCCCTACTGGTCTCGTGCAGGCTGAAAGCCATACTGCGCGAACTGGTCAAATTCTTTTTCAGCGTGACTTTACTGAATCATGTGAATATCAATGGACACCAGCATCCTTCATTCCAGAATAAAATCGTTCTTTCCTTTTCAACGCATTCATCGCCAGGACGACTCCGCAAGGCACTTCTGTCAAAATTCGTGAAAGTTCGCCTCATCCACGTACTTTTCATACTTTGTTTGCGGTGGACCGTTTTTCGTGAACGTTGTTTAAGACAAAATAATGTCCAAACAAAGAGTAAAAAGGATAATTCGAAAAGCTACAAAATGTGCATTTTCATGAGTACTCTCAAATGATATTAAATGCTAAGCATCACACAGAGCTTCTCAAAATCGCGCCCTGAATATGCTAAAACACGATTCTAATTTGTCTGCATCGTTTTAGTGCGATTATCTTGAAAATGGCGGAGCGCTTATCTGTGGTGCAAGCCATTGGCAATTAGATGAATTCTACTCTGATATAGAAACGTCAAAAATTGGTTTCAACCGTTTATGCAGCAAGCTGGGAGTTGCTTTAATGGACAAATACTTAACCGAGGAAGATACTGAGCCTTTGAAGTTCTCTCCAGATCTCGTTGCATTTAGAAATTTTTCTAATATTTTTCAGACTTGGATGAAAGATCCTTCACAATCGAGGATCAGTAGCATGATTTGTGAGCTCATTGACATAATTCGTAGCAATCCGTCACAGATTGCATCTGCTATATCATCATCAAATTTAGTTGATGTTGTTGAAAATATTGACAGTGATCTCATACCTAGTAAGAGCAATAAAATCAAAGACAATAATCTGAAGACGCGAGCAAAAGCTTTTAATGCAATTGCCTTTTTACTACCAGACTTCAAACTTCCAGGTAACGCTTGTTGAATTTTTTAGTAGGTAAAGCGCTAATTGCTTGGCATTTTTGTACTGTCTTTAGGAATAAAAGAATTTCCAGGAGATTTCGATGAACCACCTGAAACAGTAACAAATGAAGTAGTCACAGTGAAAAAGTTACAATCGGGAGAATGGTACTGCACTGGTAAGTATAAAGCTAGAAAAGCATATGCGTGCGAGCGTAGTATTAGATTAAAATCTAACTATTTTCTCAAAGCAGCAAGAAAAGATAACATTTACTTGAGCGATGTAGATTTAAAAGGAATTTTAGTGACAGAGCAACAGTCTTCCGCATACCAGAATTCATCGCAAGCCAATCATTGGCCAAAAGAAGATGCATGAACTGGATATTTTACGGCATGCTTCAGTACGTAGTCAAAACAAACTAGAATTAAATTAAAGATCAATAAGTTCAGACAACGAAGAAAATCAAGAGAAAAGATATGGATTCGAACATCAGCTAAAGAGAGCTTAATACATTTGCACCTATATATAAATATAAATATAAATATATTTATATACTTACATGTAGAAGTTGATTCATCAATAAATAGCCTATAAAAACATGATTATCTCTAATATGGCTCAATCAGATAAACAAATTTTATTATGGTTGGAGAATTTTGTTAAAACTTTTTCTAATTTGAATAAGGTTAAGACATTACACTAAACCATGATCATCGATTGTAGGAAAAAAATTGGACCTATTTCAAAATAAGAAAAATGCATATAAAGCAATGTATGAATAAGTTTTGGTTTCAATCGTAGAAGACAACCGGAAAACAACAGAACAAATTTAGTCTAAGCCATAGTACTAGAACACATAGAGAGAGTTTTCAGATGAGACCGATTTAAGACTAAATGGTTGCCATATTATAAATATGCAAACATTGAACTTTAAATTCTGTTCGATAGCTGAAAATTCGTGCTTGAAGGATTTCATTCGGTCATTTAGCCCTTCAAGTAGATGAGATCTGAAAAATGCATGGATGCATGTTCATATAATGACGTTGCTTATGTTTGTTTGGATATTTTCTCGTCATCTTCGATGATTGCAACCTAAATATATAAATCGTTTCACACGTATTTTTCTTGCATCAAAGATGGTTCAATTTATTTACTGAAATCAATTAATAACACATCAGTGTAAAATCTCCGAGTCCTATTGAAATCAGGAAAAATTTTAACAAATCTTAATAACTACAACAAGATTTAGCCTATCTGATCGAGAAATAATAGAGATATTCGATTATTCATGCCTCTGTATTTATGGAGCACTCTGTACGAATACACAAAAGATGAACTAGAAGTTTTATTTCCGTTTTTCCAGTAAGCATTTCCATACTCATGAATTTATTCAAAAAAATTGTCTTTGTATAGAAATAGTATAATAGACGATGAGCTCCAGAACGGTAATAAATTCATTCATTTTTTTCGTTGAATGCAAAAACCACAGCTGTAGAAACATCTAGTAACCTCGAAACCAAATCAGCTAATATCCGGAACGTTAAAAAATGATGAGTGAATCAATTCTGATTTGAGAAACCTGGTTGTCATTCTAAATCGTCTTGAGATTCTTTCACACATAATGAGATGTAGAATGTATTAATCGTCGCCAGTGATATATTTGAAAAAGTTCATAATTTATAGGAAAAAATGAAGCTACATCTCAATATTCTACCGCGAAGGGTTAATTAAAGAGAACTGAATTCGTGCATAATTTATGTCTTTGAGAGGAAGAGATGTCACAATGTTAATAAAGAATGCTAAAGGGGAACTAATTGCATCATAGTCGTCATTTGTCATTGATGCAAACATCTATGCGAAATGTAAATTGATTATTTTTGAAATGTTCAGTAAAATCTTAATTGAAGTGCATTATACTCGTCATCTTTAGCATCAGACAATATACACAGGCAATAAATAATTTAGTAAAACTATGGAAGAGCTCGAAGTCACAGAATTGTAACTTTTCGCTTTGAATGTCGTGTCAATCTAGCAGAGGTTTTTCTTGCTTAGATACGAATCATGGACGAATTTAGTTCCATTTAGTTAATGTGATTGACAAACTAATTGATTGCAAAAGAATTTCACCATACTTTTCCCTTACGACATGATAGCTTGAGTTACATTTGATCAAAATACTAGCTTATAACGCCTGTAATATTATTCCTTAATCTGCTTCTAAAAGCAACATATGTTTTTAAATCCATAATTTTCCTACTAGAAAAGTCAACTGTATCCACTAATAGCTGTTTTGGAGAGTATATTTTACTGCACTTTTCTACAGATGTGGATTTACCATAATATAGCGCATTATCACAGTTGTACTGATTATTCTATCGGTTAACTTGTGTGAACCGATGACAGCACCCGACATAAGATTTCCTGAGACGGTCAAACAACGTTTCTCAATTTTCAGTCCTCTCCACTGTAGTGCCTATCAATACTTATAATTTATACTGACGCATGCATATAAAATGCGGAGACAAGCATATTATAGAGTCTAGTCTTTTGACAGAGATTCCTAATAAACGAATTATTAACAAAAGTAAAAATATTATTGTTTCTCATAGCAACATTCGTTTCGTTAGCAATTCGACCACGATGAGTATTTTCACAAACAGAAATTATACTTCAATCAGTGTAGCATCAGGGGGGAAAAGCGAGAGCTCTAAATTGAAGTATAGATGGAATAGAGTTCGAGTACAAGTGGAGTACAATAGAGTATGAGTGGTGTGTAGTTGGAGCACAGTGGGAATACAGTGAAACACTAGTGAACTACAACGGTGTCTAGCTGAAGTCTAGTGACTACGTACTCCTCGCGCTTCAGCTAGACTACTCTGTGCTTCACTCCTACTCCACTCTACTCCAGTTGTACTTCAACTACACGTCCGAGTACAGGAAGATCGCATTTTTCTTCTTGTATAGCATTCAGTGCGCCTTATGCGAGATGCATCATTTCCTTTCCAGAACCCATTTGTAATGAGTATACCTTTGCAAATCTTCATTGACATTCTATAAAATTGTATGATGAAATATCCAGCATCCTTTATACTGTGTTTTCATTCGTTAGTCGTGGTATGAAATTAAGGTGAATCGAAGTATAAGTGTGTGAGCTACATGATAAATACTTTTTTCTTTCTTGGCAAATGAGATTTCAACAACCCCTTTAACATACTAAGAATGGAATAATCGACCTCAGTAGAAGAATTAACTCAGGAAGCCCATCAAACAACAAATCCGACAGGATGATCATATTGCTCCTTATACGAATAATCTATATGCTGACATAAATGAATATGCACAGTACGGAGCTCTAGGTCTTTTCTACGTAATATCCCTCGCAAATGATTCTACTTGTAATTGATAAAAGTTGAATCGACATAGGTAAATTATACATGCAGTTGGATAGAACGTGTGCATCTCGGGCTCTATTGAAGTTCTTGATAGCTTCATGCCATTACTATTTTCCTACAAAAAAACGAATTCCATAAATATACGTATGAGTAATATAAAAAGCTTTGCTATACGAAATGACGCAGGATTTTGCTCTTCTTTTACAAGTCTCTGAACAGAAACCTTTCTTAGATAATTTATGTTTTTTCTTATCATTTACAACTCAACTTTCTCGTTTACTTCAACTGCAGAGAGAATAACTGCAAATGCACATTCTTTTACGTGTAATCAAGTAAGGACCTCTTACGAAATATGGAAATACACGCAAGCGTGGAGTAGATATAAATAAAATTCTTGCCTATGGGTGGGTGCACATGGTACCAAATATAGCTTTTTAAGAATGCAGATGTGAATACTGTTATTACTATGGTTCTGAATATGAGTGGTTGGGAAAGGAGTACTAAGTCTAATTTATAATCATACCTGCCGTATCTATGCCCACACAGACCTTTGCAAGATATGTGAATGCTAATGGAAGATTCAGGATGCATGATGCTACTCGAAACTTCGCATGAACAGAATTCAAAATATGCTCATCTAACAAGTAAAATATCAATCTGCTCTTAGTCCTCAACGATTTTTATTGAATCTAATAAAAAATCGGTCTTGAACTTTGAGAGTAAAATAATTAATAAGCGCAATGTCTAGTTTTTTCATTTGGAAATTGTATAATTCCAAGATTTTCAGCTAGCTCGAAATCGTGAGTGAAAGTGTTCTGAGAGCATTTTCAAAAATATTCGAAGTTGTCAACCTGATGTCAAATATTTTTTAGGTCATTACGTAGTAGCTGGTCTCCCTTTCGAAATGAAAGTGATCGAGCAAACAGGTGAAAGTGGATGGTATGTTCAAATTGGCAGTCATACGGATGATCTCACAGACTGCGATGAATATCGTCGTTGGCCAGTCATAACCACTTCGCAGCGCATTCCGAAACTTCTCAGTGAGTCTATCAATATGTATTCTCCTGTTGGTGGCTTGCTCTACTTAGTTGCACCTACTGGTGACGAAGCCTCGTCCATCACCGTGCAACTTTCAAATGTTGTTCCCACACCCACTTACGACCTAACTGATGCGAACAGAGAGACTAAATGGAACACGAGTGGTAAGCAAGCCGATGGCCTGTGGGCTGATTTAGCAGGCAATTATATGATTCTCAGTGTTCCCTCGGCGACCATTCGAAATATAGATACTGAAGCACTTGATCGCGTGCTCGAACTATATGATAACATTGTGCTTGCTGGTTATGATCTATGTGGTACAACATCGACCAGTCGCGAACGACTTGTTTGCGATGAGCAAATATCATGTGGCTATATGCGTGAGTAAACTACCATACTAGTCAGAAAGATGTTTGTTTGACTTGCTTAATTGGTAGATTCTGGTTATCCGATTATGAGTCATCTCGATTACCTCAAATTAACAGAACGTAATATTCCGTATATTCTTGATGAAAAAGCACTCAGAAATTACGGAGGTGAAGGTGAATGGGGTATTCCCCACGAACTTGGGCACAACCGTCAGAAAGATTGGTGGAGTAAGTCATGAAAAAAAAAGTTGAAAAGTAACTCAAATTGATTATTCTCGAAAACGTTCTTTTCTTACAAATCTTTTGAAAAATAACTGGTTTTAGAGAAATATTTATCAGTCGCTCAATGTTAGAGTTGGTAGATGGCCAAAACAATTAGTTTTGAAGCAACTTTGCCTTTTCAAAAAGCTGTTGCTTGCATCTTTCGGATGTCTCCCTAGGCTTAATCCGTGACGTTTTAGTACCGGATCCTTGACAGATATGACCAGGATCCCGCAAGGATTCACGTTTTTTTCCTGAGGAAACGAGGAATCCCGAAACAAGCGTGTAGCCAGGAAATTTCAGGATCTTGACAAGTTTCCTATTGTTTTTGCAGCAGGCTTAAGCCAGGAAATCGATAAATCCCGAAAGAAGCGTGTAGCCAGGAAATCGCAAGATCTTGTCAAGATTTCAAACAAGTTTTTTCGAGGATCTTGACCAGGTTAGTGTTATTTTCCAAGATAGGATTTAGTCAGGAAACCACAGATTCTTGAAAAGAGCGTGTAGCCAGAAGATTTCAAGATCCTGTCAGGATTGCATATAATTCAAAATTAAAAGTAATCTATTCCTGATATTAACTTTCAGAATTCTGCTCAGTTTCTTGACAACATCTTTTTAGCGTCAGTCTAGGTTTCCTCAAGGATCTCCTCATATTTCTTCATAGGATCTTCTCAAGGATTGTACTAGGCTTCGTTCAGGATGTTACCATTTTCTTGCCAGGATCTTCGCAGGATTCCTAAATAGAGCAGAATATATATGAGCATATAGAGAATCGAACTCTAGACCATCAGTTTACATACCGATCAGCTTTCCAAGCTGGATGTATCATGTCATCCTACATCACTTCTATGTTCAATATCTTAATTTCTCACTTCAAATCATTTTCATTTTAATTCTATAGAAATAAAAATTATTTTAAATATTCTAAAACTATTATATCATTTTAAATATTTTTTTCTATCAACTTCGTGAAATAATTTTTATTTTTAATTCATTTAATTTACTTAAGTATTTTGAGCTTTTAAAATTACGATTTAATTTTAAAAATAAATATTTTAGTTTTCTTAAATTTCAGTTTTACTCAAAAAACATTTTGGTGGTTTAAAATAATTAATTATTCAAAAACAGCAATTTTAGAATGAAAAGATTCAAATTAAAAATTTAATTTTATGATTTATGTTTTTCTGATAAGACGAAAAAAAGTGATTTCGACAGTTGCGATCTGAAAATAACTTGTACATAAATTTCAAGTGCATGTATTTTTTAAAGACTATCCAGATTCTACTTTATTTATTAATTGAAAAAATCAAACTAATATAAAAATAAAATGCCAATATTTAGTCGTTTCTAATAATTTTGTCTCTTTCATTGAAGTACATAGAATAACTTCAAAAATACTACGATTTATTTCAATTGAGAATTTGTTGAGTTCTATCTTATAATTCTATTTCAGCTTGTAAAGTTGACAAATCTTTGCAGGATCCTGCTATGTCTCTAGCAAGAAACGCCAAGAAAACATTTCATTCATTCGTTCTTGTTACTTTCCTGACAAGATCCCGACAATTTAACGCTGATTATCTTCTCAATGTAAACCTGGACAGATCTGAACGGGATCCTTGTCTTTTCTTATCACGATCCTGATCATACTTACATCATTTTTTAAGCATTCAATGATTAAGCTCCTGAACAGTACTTCTTAAAATCCTGCTCGGATTTTGACAGGATTTTATATATGATGATTCTGCTTAATTCTTGTTCATTCCTGGTATGATCTTTCTTTTCTATAAAGTGCAGTTCTTCAGAAGATCTACCTATCAGGATCCGCTACTGATCTTTGCTCAAACCTAATGAAATCTTGAAGAAGTCCTTTTTGTAATTTATGTCACATTTCTAAGTACAATGAGTAACAGATCTCGGCAAGATCTTGCAAAATCAAAATTGAGAAAAATTTTTAACAAGAACTTGACCAGATCCTACCGAAACTCCTGAATTGAACCTGACGCCAAACTAATCATTTAGGATTATCCAAATTTCTTCAAGATCCTGCTAGGAAACAGATATGGGTACACGCAGCAAATATTAACTTGTAGAGATCTTTACTAAATCCTTACATTTTCTTATTAAGATTCTAATGAGCATTGAGATTGCGACTGAAAGTTGTAACAAGAATAATCTTAAAAAAAAATTATCAAGATCTTGATTAAAACCTACCAGGATTCGTCTGTTTTATATTCTGATTAACCATGTTGCTATCTTGTCAAGATCTCGGTCTGATATGCGAACCATTTCTGATAGGATCCTGATATGAGGATTTGATAATTTTCTTGAAGAGAACCTAGTAAAATCTTGACAGAATCCTTTCTCATAAACTTGAAAAGATCCTCGATAAGATCTTCACTAAATCCTGAAAGGATCTTGTATTATCAATTCAAAAAATATCTTTGCAAGAACTTGAAAAAATCCTGAAAAGGATCCTGTTTTACCTTGAAAAATCCCGAAAGCAGGATTTTTCAGGATTCGAAAGAGGATCCTGAATAAAACTTGATAGGATCCTTGAAATTCAGGATCCTGAAAGATCCTTACAGGGTTTCTCAAGGAATGACAAGGATTGAACCTAGGGCTATGTTGATAAATCATATTTCTTCTTTTCAGATCGCCATTTAGAACTTCTCCAGGATGATTCTACGGAAAGAGAAACCGTTCTCAGGTTGACTTCTCGAAAATCTACACACTAGATTTGGAGAATTCTGAAAATATTCAAGACATCTTTCTATCGAAGCATATATTTAAAATCAGTCACCTATCGATAATTCTAGAGAGATATGTAAAACTTGTCGACTTATACTTTTCGGCAAAATGCCTTCTAATAACTTTCTCTTTTAATCCGTAAATTTTAAAATAGTTGTGTTAAGATGTAATTGCGTGAAATCCTCAAAATCTTTTAAAAGAGAAACCTTGCCTCATGGTCTTTTATACTTAAGAGCTAATTGAAGTTCGAAACAAGCATGATAGACTATCATATTGCACCCGGTACACATTGTGCAATAATCTGAAAGACTTAAGAAAAATATCGCTTTTCGAATTGCTGATAACAAAGATGGAAGTGGTTTGCTTGTACAACAGAACTGCATAACGTTGTTGATCTTTTTGAAATGAATTTGCCCGAGAATGAAGAAAAAGCTGCAAAGTACTATTACTTGAAAAAAATGAGCACATGCACTTTATTACTTATATTTAGGTACAGGGAAAAATTTATAACATGCTGGATCAGTCTGATAACACTATTATCATGAAAACTAAAGAAATAAAATATTTTCATCGTATCGGACCGTTACACATATTTATAGAATACTGCCTTTCGTAGCTTTTGTTTTTTTTTCTCAAGTATTTCTTGTCTTACGCAGTCGGAACGATGTCAAAAAAATGCCCCGACCAGGAATCCAGCAAGGTTCGCAAGCGAGCAAAGTATTTTATATCATAGACCAAAAACAGAGAAAACTGTCAATGCTACCTATTTAATTCGTACTTTACTATCTTCATTTAGCGTTTAGCGATACTGATGATATAACATGCAACATATTTTCTCTCTATGTAACCAATACAGTTTACGGGAGAGACTTATGGGAAATATCTGTCTTTGGTGGATCTTGTGCAGAAAATGCTATAGCATATTTAAGTGGAAGTAACCAATCTTTCGAAGAATGGAAAAAGGATTATTACGTTGGCTTGACTATTTGTAAGTAACCTATAACGAAGAATAACGAAAAATAAGAGGAAATATTTTCATATGTAGATGGACAACTGGCTCGTGAGTTCGGCTGGGATAGTTTCAAGGCAATTTTTCGTACGTACGAGAATACTCAACCAGAACTTAAGTAAGTCTCAAACTTGTAAATTTCATAAATTGCACTCATTCGATACGTCTTTGAAATTGTAGTTCTGACCAAGAGAAAATAGATTTGTGGGTTAAAACTTTTTCAGAGCAAGTGCAAAAGAATCTTGTACCACTTTTTCAATTATGGGGTTTGATCGTCTCTGATGCAATTGCCAACAAATTGGAAGATTTCGACATACCGAAGATTGATGATCAATTCATCCAAGCTGTTCCTGGCAAATATCCCGCATAGTGGATACTGCTCCTTGCCACAAAAAACAGTGCATACTTCCTTTTACTCACATATCTTACTTCTTTACTCGTCAACTAAACTCTAACATCCATCTATGAAATAAAGTCATCTAATAACTTTTAAAACAGTCGGAGTGATAACAGGAACCAGTGAATATTATAACAATGCAAACGATTTGCAAAGATTTTTGTTATGATGAATCACTCTATTTCCAAGGAAACTATGCCGCATACTCAGTAAAATCTTGGAATGCAAGATCCTGATTTCAATTTAAAACCAGCGACCAAGGGCTTGCTGAAAGCGCTATACCAAACTTAATAAAAACATACGCAGCATTATCCAATGCACTGCGCCCAGCAAAAGCCCTATGAGAATTCTGAATATTCAGATGCTCCTGAGTCCATCCGATTTACCATTTCTCTCGAGGACGATAGTTAATTTGGAGATTCTTCTTTTATAATTTAAGTTTACATTCTTTCTTCACATTTTTTTCTATCTTTTTCTATGTAATGTTTGATAACATTCATTTTATACGCCCGATTTCTATATGTCTTCCTCAAAATGTCCTTTTGTCTGTACGCACTTTTTTCTACATCTTTTTCTCGTACGTCCTTTTGTACGTTCTTTTTTAGTATGTCTTTTTCATCCTCACCTTCACTCGGTATAGAAAAAGGACGTTTAGAGAGAAGGAACTTACAGAAAAAGATATGCTAATTTGAACCTATATGAAACAGTGATGGGATCGGTTAGTGTTTTTTTTTTGAATCGAACCGAACGGATTCGAAAATCAAAGAGATAAAGAAGACTTAAATGTTTAGTGTTTTTTTAATAATATTCGCTTTAAAAGGCTTATTGAAGGAATACTTAAAACGCCATTAACAACTCTAAAAATGAAGTAGAAACTAATCGTAGAAACGTCAAGAACATGGACATTTTCGTTTTCAACATAAAAGAATTTTTCAATGATAGACTACTAATTTATTTTCGATGGCTAGTCTCTTTTTCTGTTTATCAAGAGTTGTTCAAACTGTTTTTTTGTTGTCGTTTAGTGCAGATATGCAGGAACCATATTTTATGTCACACTCCAAGGGCGTACCCAAGCGGGGTGCCCTCAGGTGGCCGGGAACCCCCCTTAGACTTTGAATAGAGTTGGAATCATAATTCGAAAACTTTTTGGAAAATGAAAACTAAGCAACACTATCTTTTTTGTCGCTATTTGAACTGATCAATGTTCACAATGACAAACAAATATAGTTTTTGACTATCCTTTATTAGAGTAGTTTTTCTTCTAAAATGGATGCTCGTTTCTTCAGCATTATGTACTCTTTCTCTTGAGGGTGTGGGTGTGGGTGTGGGTGTGGGTGTGGGTGTGGGTGTGGNGGTGTGGGTGTGGGCGTGGGTGTGGGTGTGGGCGTGGGTGTGGGTGTGTGACTAGCTACCATAATCTATAGATTTCATTGGAACAACCCAAATCATCAGATGGCAAATAATTTTAATGATTTAAAAAGAAAAATCAAAAAATTAATTTATAAACTATCATATACAAGAATAAATCTTAAGTATATGATGATAAATTCGATTCATGGTAGTGTGACTAGCTACCATAATCTATAGATTTCATTGGAACAACCCAAATCATCATTTGCCATCTGATGATTTGGGTTGTTCCAATGAAATCTAGATTATGGTAGCTGTTCTCACCCTCAAGATTTTCCTATCAGAATAAATATCTATTGCCACTTGATAATGGTTCTATATTAAATAGGATTGAAATAACTTATTTTCGAAATTATTTATCTTGGTTATTTATCTCACCCTCACCCTCAAGAATTATTTGCCATTTGATGAGATCCTTAAGCAAGATCGAAACCTGTCATGGTAGCTTGTCACACCACTGTGAACTGAATCTTTCATTATATAGTCGAATTTTCTCAAAAATGTTTCGATATATAACAGCATAGATATAGATTCTTGTGATTTTCAATTTAATTTGAATAATCATACAGAATTATTTGCCATCTGATGAGATCCTTAAGCAAGATCGAAACCGGTCATGGTAGCTTGTCACCCTCACCCTGAAATACTTCTTTTCAAGATTCAACTTTTACATATATTTGATTTGTATAACAATACCACAAAAACAAAACTTTCACTATGAATGATCATACGTAATGTTCAAATCGATCATATGAAATGTCTATATAGTGTTGAGTCTTTTTTTAAGTAAGAAAAGAGACGAGATAACAAATAATTCAAATTTCTTTAAGACTTCATCAAAACAATATTATTAACCGAGCGTGAAAGTATGATAAGTCATATAACACGTTGTTTAGAGGCGTTCGCTATTTTGATTTAAATAAAAAAAAGTTGACAAAATATTATTCTTGTATATTGAATAACCTTATTTTTTTAAAATTATTATTTCTAAAAGGGTCTTTTTTCCTATTCTTCTCAAACATTGTTTCTAAGTAACCATTGGTATCAAAACAACCCGGATAATAAATGAAATATCCTATAGAGGCATTATTTTTCTCTTCTAGAAAAGCGAGATAAGACAAAATAATTACATGCTATGGAATCTTCATTTTTAAAGGTGCTGTTTTTCTTTCTTATGATTCATGTATTTTCAAGCATAAATAAATGTTCCATCCGAAAAATAGCAATCTAATGAATGAATGATGTTTTTTCGATGTCAATTAATTTTGTTTTTGGTCTTTCTGCGTTGTTTTCCTTACGATGTAGTACAGATGAAAAAAAAAGAAATAACAATTTCAAATTAACGCACAGTTTAGACGATTGAGAACATACTTTTCTTTTTTCTTATAACAACGTTGTAATGATGTATTGCGTAAAGTCTGAACGACATAAATTTTGAATACTAAGAAGCGGAAAAAATGAGATGAAGTATTTCTTTTCTTACAAACAGTAGCTTCGCACGATTTTTCATCATGTGACACACATTATTTTTACACTGAATAACATTGACACACAAATGAATAGAGAGTGACGATGAAATGTTCAACAAAGTTAGTTTAAATAATTTCTATGTGCGCCAATATATGCGTCACGGCTCATTTCTCCTATTTTGTCCTTCTCTCTTTCTCTACTGTTCTTTGTGCTCATCTCTCTCTCTTTGCCCGTCGATCCTTATATAAGCGTGTATCGAATGTGAAAATCGAGACAATCGAAAGATGTGAATAAATGAATAAACAACGTTGTTGAGAGAGTCGGTCGGCCCCTCTTAAGTTGAAAACACGACATCATATTTTTATTGTTATACTATGTTTTAGAGTCAATCATAAGAAACAATGATTGCTTTTATTGGAAATCCAAATTCAATTCAAATATCAATGATTCGTAGTAAACATACATGTTTTTCTATTGAATGAAAAATTTCCTATTGGTGATTGTTATTTGAATA